GGGGGGGATAGCAAGATCAGCCCTTGAAACATAAACTACATGGTAGTTGAGTTGCACAAATAGATCTGAATTTTGGTAGAAGTAATGGCTCACTCACCAGTATTTTTAAGACCGTGAAATTTTGCATATCTTGGATGTACTAAAATGAATATGCATCTTTTCGATATAGAAGTTATGAAATTTGAGAATGAATCACGTGTTCAATTGGAGCTCAAAGAGCTTCAATGCCCGTGCACATAAGTGGGAATGCATTTGTGCTGTGTACGTGTAAGATATCGAAGATTCAAAATTTTCCTTTTTTTTTATGTTAAAATTTCTGAATTCTGGAAATTGCATTTTTAGTCTACATTTAATTGTTTAATCTAAAAGTTGTCATTAAGTATCATTTTCTGCCGGAATTGGTTAATATATAATACACTGCTGCTACTAATTTTTTTATGTTTCATTTTTGGGGGCATGCAGGTTGGTCCTTCAACTACCATCTCTGATAGTAACGGCTACAAAGATTTGAGGTAATGTTTTACACCATCTTTCTTTTGTCTCTCTTTCGATTTCTGGTTGATCTCTTTTGTTTTTATGATGGTGCCAATTATCTATATTACCTCCACACAAATCTCATATTTTTCTATGTTTTTCTGCAGGGATAGAAGTAGGGATGACACTATTACAGTTATTGGAGATCGAAAGGTAAATGCTCATGACACTGTATGTACATGTACCCACACCCACACATATACATAGATATGTGATGCTGGGAGATGCAACTATTTAGCCCAAAAGCTATAGCTGATGGGGAGGTGCAATTCACAACCCAAAACCAGGCCCGGGAATACACCCCAAGCCCACTCCATTTGGGCCTTATTTCGAAGGTCACCTTCTGAAGGTGCCAATGGGCTATTCGCAAATAGCGATTGATAGGCCCATCCCGTTTCAAGCATGTTCCTGCATCGTACACCCAGTAAAAGGAAATGCTCTAGCATTGACTCGAACATAGGACCTCCAATTTTGATACCATATGAAGTAGAAGTGCAAAGAAGAAAGGGAAAAATAAATCCCTACCAGGAATGGATTCTTCGAACCAAACCTGCAGCAAAAGACCCAGCAAAAAGAAGAATAGCAGAGATGATTTTTGGAAATTCGGTGTTTGCCTTTTCTCATTCAGTTTCAGGGCTTAATAAGAAATAGCTAAGCAACACAGTTTTGAGTCATTACATAAATGCAAATAAAGAAAATAATAAAAGAAACAAGAAATAAATGGCAAACAAATCATAGTCCAACAAATATGCCATGTGTCATTATATGCTTTCCATCAGCATGCATGTGTGCAAGCGAATACATATACAAGTAATATGCCCTTTTCAAGTAGAGATTTTTTTCTATTGAACATATGCATGTGTGTAAACCCTTTGATCATGGAACATCGATGGATTGTTGATCTCTTTCAATATCTCTCTCAATTCAAAGTCTGTGATTTGAACTTATCTTTCATCATTATTTTAAATTTTGCACCAATTTACTCGAAATATTTCATTTCTATTGGAATTTGATTATTAACCATCACACCATGTACAAGGACCCCCTCTAAGCATCCTTGTTATTGGGATAACTCATCTACATTTATCATGCTAAAACATTTTCCGATTTTTTTCTGTATATATTCTTTATATATTTTGATAAAATTTTCAAATTTGTGGCACTCAGCCAATTTGCACTATGAATTTTATTCTCAACTTTATATGTGTATAATTCTTAATAAAAGGCTTTTTTCGTGTTGTAGGTTAGAATATCTGAAAATGCTTCTATTTATACCCTTTGCCGGTCATGGTTGAGGAATGGTTTTCCAGAAGAAACTCAGGTTTGACCCTTGAAAGCACTTCTCTGATTTATGCATAGATGATGCTTTGTACTGCTTTCGTACAGACTCTTTATAATGTTGTCATGTACAATAAGCCTAAGGTTCAAAAACGTTGAGGAGAATAAAATGAGATAGCTCTGTGCTTTACAACATATTGATCACTGTAATTGGATGGTGTCATAAGAAATGCACCTTTTACTCACACCTCAGTTATAGAAATTCTACTGAAGCTATGGTTGTGTGAGATCTATCTGTGGAGGACAATTTAAAATCTTAATTGTTCATCCAAAAATTAGGAATTCTCTGTTATAGATAAATCAACCCAACAGTGTCTGGGGTTCTTGTATTCCATTTCCTTGATGTTTTGCAAAATCTGCGCATAATATCTTCTTCAAAACTCCACCTTCCTTTCAGTAATCGAACCTAAAAACCTAAAATAATTACTCTTTTTGATAACACTATTCTTTATAGTAACTCTAATATTATCATTTATCCCTGTTCCTATCAGTTAAGGACATTTCATATTAGCCATCTCATCCTACATCGTGGTACTGTCATTGTGATGGGAATCCTAGTAGAGATATTATAAAGGAAAACTTTCAAGTTTAAATACTTAATGTAGGAAACATAATAAGGGTTTTATGTTATAGGTTTCTTGAAGTTTCGATAAGTATTCAAGTTCAAGAAAATTTTCTGCAGCAGCCATCAACATTGAATTCAACCAATCCCAACCTAACCAGCACATATTAACCCAAATACCAAAAAATACCTAACCCAAATAACATATAGCCCATACCCAACCTACAAAAACAAACACTACATGCCGGTCCACACCCTTCCCCATCCCGGATCCCCAATCCAAAAATACAATCTGCGTCTAGCAACCTGACCCAATTACCTGACCCTTATTCCGACCATGAAACCTCTCTTCCTTACCTGACACCAACCCATACCCATACCCTAACCCTGCAATTGCCGTTGCTGTGCCACCAACTCACAGCTGTGCAATAAATATGGTTACGAGGCGAGATATGGATGGCAATGGGGCTAGGTGCCATCTTCCTCGCCAGGGATTTTCCTGTCCCGACAGTCCCCCCTCCATGCTTACTGCCCTGATTTTCTTTTAAAATGTTTTTTCTAGGGTAATTTGTGAATTGGCTAATGAGCTTGGACATTAAAAAAGGGGCTAAGGTGTTTTTAAATGAATAGATAATCAGACTGTGTTTCTAGGATTTGTTTCTTTGTTCCAAGTTGAAGTCAATTACATGTCTGTTTTCTAACTTTGTTTCCAAGAATCACTCATAGGCCATGGATATTGACATTGGCATGCTTTCTTTCAGCTACAGTTTTGAATCTTTTCAATAATGTTCTCGTCACTTTTGTTTACGCTTGAGCTTGTGTAATTGCATACATATTTGTGAGAAACATTCTACTGATGTAAAAGAGTATATCTCTCTCGTTTATGGTGTGATTTTGTGCTTTTCGATTAATATTTTGATTCATATTTGCAATTCTTTGGCAGCCTCAGCACCCAGACGTCATAAAGTGTCTTCCCAGACCTCTGCCAGTAGCTTCGCAACATTCAGATTCTCCTGGGAGGAAGGATGGTGATAAAGAAGAGGAAGAAAAGGTCCGTCTTAGAAATCATTATCATTGTCTTTGAAATCATTCACTGTTTTTCTGAAACTTGTTGAAGTTCTGTTACATAAAATAGAAACCAATAATTTTTGTGAAACAAATTCCATCTGGCTAGGACTAGTAATTTAGGTTCATGGCATTCTGGTTTTTGAACCTGAGATAGATTTCTGAGTTTTAAGTCATAATATCAACTCTTTAAATTTATCCATTTGTATACCAGGAGAAAGCCATTTATATACTTAATAATATAATATCATGCAAGTAAACAGAATGTCTTTTTGAGACCATTATTTTAAATTTATAATATTGAGTTATTACTTATTAGACTTGTTGTCCACTGCTATCTTCATGGTTATTGCCTCGATAATGTTTTATGCTCAATTGGTAAAGTGAACGCTCACGGTATGATTTATAAGATTTCATTTAAAGGAAAATTTAAAATGGCTTAAAACAATATGACATGAAAGATTACTTTCCCACAAATAAAATGGCATCTATCCATAACATCTCAAATTGTTGGTCTAAAAGGAATATAATGTTCTTCCAAGTTGGTGCTTTGCATCTTTCATCTCTTAACTCTCTTCTTTTTGAGCTAAGTAATAGAAGTTTGTAAATTTAGAGTAATAGTTATTTTTTGAAGAATGTGTGGTTAAAAAGAAAAAAAAAGTTTTGTGCTTACGTGTAAAATTAGTTTATTGGAAGAATGTGTGGTTGAATATGATTTTGAGGAAAAATGAGTTTTTTGTATAATGGGGCACAAATGGGGGCTTAGTTTCAGTGCAGAGAATGTACTTGTTACCTTTTGCAAGACATCAGAATCTTTGTATCCCATCAAGAGTTGAGAGTATTATAAATAAAAACAACTATTAGATGAATCCATTTATCTATAAAATATGTTATCCATGAGAACATTGCGTATGGAATTTAAGACTTGAGTCCTGGTTCATATATTTCCTATCATGGCACATCATACAATGTATAATTCCTAATACACTTGGATGGCATTTGGATCACCATCGGTGTTGGATGACCTTAAAAATGGAATTGGAATGAAAATACAGTACACTGTTTGGTTCAACTAGTAATCAATAGATTCAGAACCAAAGTTGTAAAAATGTTGTATGGTTCGAATCAGATTCGTCTACATTTTACGATTATACCAAATGACAAAGATGCATATCTTTTTCTTTATTGTTTTAAGTAAATTTGCAACTTGACAGTCCAATGGACATACAGAAAGGGACTTAATGTATCTGAACTTTGTCCAATTGAACCCTAGCTAAGACTAGTCTGCACATGATGAATTATTTAATTATGTTTGGTAGAATTTTTAACTTTGACTCTAGTGGAGACCTTGATAGAAAGGGACCCAAACTAGGTTCAACTTTTTTGGTAAAAGTTTCTATTCAACTTTGATTGAGACCACTCTACAAGGGTATAGTTGGACATAAAGATGTTTGACTATGTTTCTTGTTAGCCATTGATGCTATACTTTGGAGCAAGCACACACCACTGTTGTTGGACTGTCAGTCTTACACACGTATAGGACACTGATATACATAGAACACATGTCAAATACAGCAGTGCCATGTTCTTTTTTCTTATTTGAACATGGATCTTACATGAATCCATTTTTGCAATATTTGGAACTCCAAAAGAAAAAGAAACAGAGAGAGAAGGCTAACCATAATATTCAAAGTTGATGATGCCAACGAACCAACAGTGGGAGGAGATGAGGGAGACTGGGAAAGAGGAGACAGAGATGGAAAATACTTCTGGAGATGGAAATAGGTTATGGACAAAGTTCGATCTTTTGATTGATGTGGGTTTTTACTGGTCTAAAAATTTTGCTGCTAGTAAATGCTAGTTCTTGACAAAACAAGATATTGGGAGATCATTGGTTTTCAATGGGTACATCGGCAAATGGCTCTGTAAAAAGGGTAGATGTGAATAAGTGAAACAAGTGGAGTTCCTGTAGCTGCACCCATAAGTATGTTTTGCTGCGTCGTGTGTTGATGTGTCATATGCTATCACATTTATTACTTTGATTGCGTCGATATTGGTTGCATTGTGGTTAACTAACGTTCTGGTAGTTTGGAGGCACTGATGATTACCTAAGATAATTATACTGTTTGAAATGAAGTTTTTGGCTAGTTGATTGCTCAAGTCTTTAATACTCTGAAAAATGTTAAGGGATAAATCCCACATTGGTTAAATACAGAAATATACACCAACATATAAGGGTTTCGATTATTTTTTTTTAATAAGTTTGACCTTTTAAGATGAAATCTCAAGTCTAAACAAAAAGTACGTGGACATCTAGTGGCAATATGACAGTTCTAATTATCTTTGTATTTATTTTCTTCTTTTGCACATCTAACTGCAATTTGCTATTCTTATATATTAAAGAGAGACATTTTTCCTCATTATATTTCAGGACGTGGAGTCTGTTGAGGATATATCTACAAAAGACCTTTTGCAAAGACATATCAAGCGGGCTAAGAGGGTTAGGTCACGGTAATTGACTCTCCTGTCTGGAAATACCTTTTACGTAATTTTCAACAAGTGAAA